AAAAAAAAAAAAAAGAAAAACAAAGACATGGGATCAAGGAAAGAGAGGAACCAACACGGAAGAGAAGCAAAGAGAAGTCCCAGGACACCAGGTCTGTGCCAGGCCTAAGGAAAAACCAGCTGGGACCGAAGCAGGAGGAAGTGTGGTGGGGGGTGTTTCCAGGATAAAAAAGTTAAATGGATACATTATGGAAGGTGTTTGAGCATTAAAAATAAATAAACAGGTAGGTGACATCAGATGGATCATTTAATGGATAAAAAAAGCACTAAGTATGTAGAAACCAAGTGAATGGAAAAATGTGTCAATGAGTAACTCCACGTGCATGTGGGCAGGGGCAGGATTAGTTCACTCATCAGTGAACAAAATTTACATGGTCATTATGATGTGAAACCTAGCTACTGATTTAACTCACAAGTGTGATTCAATGGCAGTGGAATGATTAGAGGAGAAAAGTAGGGGAGAGGGACTGTGAAAGAGCCCAACACAGCTTCCACACACAGAAGTCTACAGGTAACGTGCACACTTGATTAAGTCATGAAAATAAGCATATTATTTTAAAATGTGGAGACACACAGTGGAAGAATCATCTAACAAACCGAAGGCAGCCTCTGGGGACTGGGTAAGAGGTGGGAGAGGGAAGAGGCTGAATATTGCTGTTTGGCATTATAAAAAAAAAAAAAACACAACTCACTACCATCAAGTAGGACCCGACTCATAGCGACCCTTCCTTGGGTTTCCAAAGGTAGTATCACTACAGAAGTAAATTGCCCAACCTTTCTTCTGAGGAGTGGCTGGTGAGTTTGAACCACCAGCCCTCTGGTTAGCAGTCAAATGTTTGGCATTATAGGTCACTTGTTATCATGTTGATTTCTAAAATCGTATGCATGTATCATTTTGATGAAAATAAAATTAATTTTACAAAGAAGGAAAGATGACAAACAGCTCCTTGGTGATTTGCTATTATTAGTTATGAGTAATACGGAGAGATGTTATGAAAGGAAAAGAAGGACTCCATCAGGAGAGGCATCTATTGACACAGACAAGGCAAGAGAATCAGTGTCAAAGATGGCACCCAGGATCCTTTAGAAGAGGAGAATTCAGGACCTATATATAATTCTTTATTGTAGGAACTTTATTCAATTAACATTTATTGAGCACTAGCTCTGTGCAAAATACAAAGATGATTATGATGTGGCCTCTACCCTCAATGCTTACAGCCCAGTAGAGAGACAGGAGGTGTGTGAAGGTTAAAGGCTATAAGGACCATGCCCTGTTCGTGGGAGTGCACTAGGGAATGACAGGGAGATAACACTCACTCAGCGTCTAAAGGCAGAAAGCTATAGAAGACTTGGGACATTCAAAAGACTTCGTGCATCTCAATTCAAGTCCTTTCACCTTGTGTCCTTAATGCAGCATCTTGTCGCAAACTAGTTTCCATAAAGCTGGGAAGTGTCTGATCTGAGATCCAATTATTTTTGCTTAATTGGTACCATATTTAGGAAATGTAACATTTCCTTTGTGTAAAAAACACAAAGGTCTTGGCCAAAAATAAGCCCCTAGAGTGGAACATCACCACCAGTCTGTCAGTCTGTCACACTGTAGTGGCTTGCACGTTGCTGTGATGCTGCAAGCTATGCCACCAATATTTCCAATGCCAGTAGGGTCACCCGTGGAGAAGCTTCTGGACTAAGACAGACTGGGAAGAAAGACCTAGAGATCTACTTCCAAAAATTAGCCCATGAAAACCTTATGGATCATAACGATACTGTTTGATACAGTGCTAGAAGATGAGCCCCCTAATGTGGAAGACACTGCACAGCTGCAACAAGGGATTCACACACAACAACAGGAAAATGGTGCAAGACTGGACAGCATTCTGTTAAACATACGTAAGGTCGCCGTAAGGTGGAGCGGACTCAATGGCAACTAACAACAACACACAGTGGTACCGAAAATACCCCAGGGGATTATGGGGTTGACCATAAAGAAGACAAGAAAGACCAAGAACTGGCAGTCATTATCATTATCTGCTAGAGCTAAAATGTTATTCCTTGCTGGAAACTAGATTCAGGGACATGATCTCCGAACACAGAAGGAACTTTCCCCTGGTAATCTCCCGGACCATACTGGAAGAACGCCAACTATAAAATACTTCTAATAGCAAACACACACATGAACAGTCAAGTGCTGATGGACAAGAGGTGGTAGTGCAGCAGAGGGAGGGCTGGAAGGAAATGAAAATGGAATGACGACCCTTCCAGAGTTTGCTACACAGCAGCGTTAGATGGGGTCTCTGAGATCATATGGTCTAGGCTTTCCCAAACTGTCATTTACATATACCTTCACCTTACTTCCTTTACTATTAATTATCTAAAATTTTTATTTTAATTCAAGGGCTTATTATGTTTTTATATTTTTCTAAGGCCCACTAAAACTATTAAAATAAAAATGTCTGATAGTGTGTTATGAAATATCTAGAATAGATCAACGTACAGAGACTAGAGTTTGTTAGTGGTTGCATAACCTTGACAGTCAGGGAGGTGGGCTTGTTTACAAGACAGTCAATCTCTAGATCAGACTTGCTCAAAGGTAACCATGAAGTTCTCCTAAACTTAGCATGTAAGTACTGAAATCCTTACGTTTCACAACCTAGCTTTTCGGCAGTGAGGAACATTTTGAAAAACAACCAAAAAGAAAGGTGTTTATGCTCTAAATGGAAAGAAGAGGAATTCCAAACTTGCTTGTGTTTCATGTACTAAGAAGGTACAGCAAGATCCAGCTAATCTTGAGAGAGTAGCTAAGGCTGCAGGGGTGGAAACAGATGACAGTCTTGGATGGTAGTAGAGCAGGGAGCTCTCTCTGGGAGGAGAAATGCTGCCTTTTGTTTCTTGTCTTTTAAATTTTCTTCAGTAAACATTTATGATGTTTATAATCAACAGGACATACTTCTTTTCTAAGCCTAAATTCTGGAGTCACTTAGACTCAGATTTATATGGTAACTCTGTTATTAAAAACTGTTCATGACCTTAATTAAGTAAGTTACTTAACCGCTCTGAGCCTGGGTTTTTTAATTGATAAAATTAGAGATAATGAGGTCCTCACAGAGTGTGGGAAGAATGACATGAAAAGCTCCCCTCACAGTGACTGGCCTATGGTAGCAGTTGATACATGTTAATTCTCATCTTCTCCCATATGACACGTGGCATTTTTCTAAAAACTGATGAAGAGGTAACAGGCCCTTACAAAGCTCCTCACAGAAAGCTACACCCATAAGGCTCTTGTTACCTGGACGGAGGCTGGTCCCTTCCAGCTCAGGTACTGCTCTAGTTCTGTGCCCTTAGCCCGGGCCCTGGAGGAGTCAAACACTTTCCTCTTGGAACCCTGCATCCTGCTGCAAACGCTGGAGTGTCTCTGCAGCCTGAGCAAGAGAAACTTACGGCCACAGTGGCTGCACTTGCCGAGTTCCGGCTCTTCAGCGGAACAGCTGGAGCCTGGCGAGCCTGGAGCCCTGGACAGGCTGCACGTGCTTCCGGATCCCCGCAAAGCATCACCTGGTGCTTCTGAAGGCCGAGAAAATGTCTCTGTCGATGGCCCTGAGACCTGGTCTCGGATTTTGTGACTGCTTGCCACCAGTCTTTCCCTTTTGAGCCTCTGCATCCCATCATCAGAGAACTGGAGTGGACTAAAATTTCCTTGAGACCGTCCCCAAGTTTTGCTCTCTGTCCTGTCTCTGCTGAACACCTCTTCAGGCCCAAATTCTGGAGAGGAGATGGGTTTGTATGTAGTGTTGCTGCTGTTACCTTTAACTTTCCCCTTGGAGAGTGTCATTCTCTGGAGCGCTCTCTTTTCATTTCCGTCAGCCTGTTCTTTTTCCCTTTGGATTCTCCTGAGTTCCTCCTCCGTCTTCTTCAGCTTTTCCCTCAGGAGGATCTCCTTTCTTCGGATTTCCTCCTCTAAGCTCTCCCCTGCAGCTTCCAGTCTTTGGATCTGCATCCTCTGGGGCTCGGTCATGTCGGGCTTTGCCCTGGCCCTCTGCCCCCACACGGCAGCAAGAACAAGACCAGCTCCAGATGAATTCACTCGGTTCCCTGAACCAAGGCTGCTGAAGGAAGAGTCAATTGGCTCAGGAGGTCTTGGAGAGACGTTCTGGTCCCCATCAGCAAAAGCCTCATCTGTACTGTGAAACTTCCGGTGGCACACAGGTTTCAGTGGGTATGCCCGATCCACCCCAACTCGCCTCTTTGTGAAGGGGACGGCGTTCTGGTTGTTTGTTTTGGGATGCCAGGACTGAGAGGACTGAGGGTCTGACAAGTAAAACACACCCTTTCCTTGGCCCTGGGGACTGGTTCCTGAATCTTGCTGACTGATTCCAGCACAGCGAGGATAAGAGTAGCTCTGGGCTTTGGTGACAGTGTTCCATTTGGGGTGCATGTAGAGATCATCCACCATCAGCTCTTTGTCGCTCAAAAGCTTCTGCTGGATACTGTTCCTCAGATGCCCCACTGAGGACTGCTGGGAAGAGTCACCTTGTTCATAAGGGTCTTCCTTGGCTGAGTGGAGCCCTGGAGCTTCCGTTTTATTATATGGGAGCATAATGCCCACAGACAGATGTGGGGCCAACTGAAGACTGGCCATTCAAGGCCTGGACAGAAACCTAGAAAAGAGTTAAAACACATGAGGAGTCTGAGGTTCACTTCTGGCTGCTAAAGTAAACTGTTTCTACATTTGCCCTACCCACATTTTCTCTTAAGTATTTCTGGAGACAGTGGTGCAAGGTCTGCCAGCGTTTCATTCCATAAGCATCTTGTGGGTGTGTGTTATATTAGGCCCTGAGGATAGAATGGGAGGGAGCTCTGGAAGCATAGTGCCTAAGGCACTTGACTGCTAACCAGAAGGCTGGCGGTTCAAACCCACCAGCCACTCCTCAGAAGGAAGGTTGGGCAATCTACTTCCGTAGAGCTACCGCCACGGAAACCCAAGGAGGGGTCGCTATGAGTCAGTCCGACTCCACAGCACATAACAAGAACAACGAGGACAGAATAACAAATGTGATACAGGTGTTGAGTTCCTTTCCCTAGCTTCCCTTTCCCCAAGACACATCCAGTGACTGCTCCTGTCAGGCAGAGTACACTTCACAGTAGGTAAAAGAGAACTGGATTGGAAGTCAGGTTTTAGGTCTGTGACACTGGTCAATCCACCTTCCCATGCTGGCCTCAAGTTTCTTTACCTGTAAACTGAGGGGCTCAGCCAGTCAGAGTTACTTGACGAGCTCAGGTGCCTGGAGGAGCTCCGGTGGCATAGTGCCTAAGGCATCTGCCTGCTAACGGGAAAGTTGACAGTTCAAACCCGCCAACCACTCCTTGGAAGGAAGACTGGGCAACTGACTTCCGCAGAGATTTGCCATATCGGAAACCTCAATGGCCGTGCGAGTTTGTTTTTTGTTTGTTTGTTTAGGTGTCTTAGGAGTCCGAGTCCTGCTCCAGCACTGTACAAGTTAGAAAGCTGCAGCCCCGAGTTAAGTGACTGGCACAAAGCTCTCTGGGTTCCCTCCTGCAGGAACCGTGCTGGATTCCAAAGAGCACAGAGGGAGCTCGGGGCCAGGAGAAGCGCCTGGCTGTCAAACCCTCATCCAAGCGTCCGCAGCCAGACAGAGTAAAGAGTGTAACTTGAGAGGCTGGGGATACCAGACTCGGCCGCGGCCGTGTTCAGCGCTAGAATGCGGAAGTCACTTTCTGTCCCGGAGGGTCAACCGGGGCGCCCCCACTGGGGACTCCACTTTGGAGACAAGCCCTCCCTCTCTGCCCCTAGGGGTCGGGCCCTCGGGAGGTCGAGGTGCTGACTCCACGTCTCCCCCTCCCTTCCGCCGTACCTGAGGTTGTCGGGCACTGCTCCCGCTCAGGATAAACCCCAGGACCTAATTTTCCGGTCCCGACCACCCCCCGAAACCGACGGCGCCGCGCAGGCGCTCGAAACCCGCCTGTGTTATTCCTGTTGCCTGGAGACAGGAGCGTGGAGCGCTCCGAACCCCGCCTCTCGCCGCAAGCGCCGCCGGAAAGCGCGCGCAGGCGCAGTCCGCGCGCGGCCCGGCGAGGCTGGGGGAGGGGGTGCGGTCAGCCTGAGTGCCACTTGACCCAGTGTCCAGCCAAGTCTGCAACTCCTTAGGGAACGGGGGAGGAGCGGGAGAGGCTTTTCTGGGGCGCTATCAAAAAAGAACTCGTATATTTTCTGAGAACGATGTTCCCAGACCGTGGGGTGTGCCCTTCTCTGGCAAAGGGCGGAGGCCCTACATGCGCCCTGGGGTCATTCTGCCGCCGGATTCCTGAGTCCGCCCACTTAGCGGGAGTGGGCCTGCTGGTAGCCTCTCTTAGCACCCTCGGCAGTTGTGCACAGGCCCCAGGTATGGTTGTATTACTCTCTCTCCGTGCTTTTCCTTGCCAATCGGTTGGATCTTGCTGTCAGGTTGTAGCAACTCGATTAGGTTTTGCTACGCAGTATCTTTTCGGGGTAGTTTTTGTGGCCAATCTAATTATTTTGATTTTACAATGTTTCTTCTCACGTGGTAACTCTGGCTGTCTCTTCTTAGGGCCCAGAAATGACTCAGCCAAATGTAATGATAACAAAGTTAACTGCCAGATCGAAAATACTCGGTATAACCTGGTTTCAACACTAAATGATACTCTATAAAATTATTAACATCAGAGGAGAGTTTATTTGTCTTTCTTGCGCTTCAGTTCCCTTGTGTAAACTGCTTGGAACGGGCCTCTTTTTTCCTCTAACTTCTCTAACAATTCTTGCAACATGGAAATGATGTAGACAGCAGTAGTCTGTGTTAATACTACGACATGTCATCTTACAGCCTTCACATGTTCCAAAGACGTTTCTTAGTGGGCCCTCCAGGGCAGTCCTTTTATTCCTTGTGTTCATTACTAGTTGGCTCTCCTACCGTCCATATATATGCAGTTCCAGACATTTTTTGCTCTTCTTAAGGTCGCAGTTATCTTAACGTGGGACCTTCCTGCTTGTCAACCCCCACCATGTATCTCCACACTGGCAGCCTCCCTCCTTCCATACTGACTTCCTTCCCTCTGCTTCTGAGGAAGAAGTGTCTCTCTTTTCATGTGTTCTCTTGAATTAAGCCCTTTCCGGATCCTCCACGACTTGACTCCATTGCTTTAATGCCTCCATCTTGTTAACCTCAAATTGTACCTCTCCACATATTCCTCTTTGGTTTGAAAAGTAGTCTTCAGTTTTCCCCTGCAGAACAAACCTCATTTCTCTTGACCTGCCACATCTCTTGTTAGGGTCCCTTTCATTTTTCCTCTTCTCCACAGGACTCCCTGTTCTGGTTACCTAGTGCCACTCTAACAGGAATAGACCACAAATGGGATGGCCTTAACAAACAGGAGTTTATTCTCTTACAGTTTGGAGGCTTTAAGTCCAAGTTCAAAGTGCCAGGCTCTAGGGGCTGGGTGAAAGCCCCTCAACCTTGGGGTCCAGCTCTGCCTCCTGCTCCCGGCCCACTGGAGCTAGAGGTGTTCCTTCACTCAGACAGCTGCTGGCTGCTGAGGCTGAGAAGCCCCAAGGTTGACAAGTAAAAAGGCACAGTCCTGATGTTACCAAACCACATAGCAGGCCATTAATGTAAGTCCATTGTAAGTTCCAAGGTTGGCAGAGCATAGCAGGCTGCTGAGCAATGACACGGCTACATGCGGGGTCCAAGCATGCCCTAGGCTAGAGACCATTCCCAAAGGCTTCTCTTTATATACAGGAAGCAGTCCACATCCCAAAGGCAGCTACTGAGCTGCTTGTGGTAGATCCCACCATGGAGTTGATTGCCAGTCTCATCATGGGGAATAACTACCACCAGCTGCCCAGCCACTCAACCAGGCCCAGCCAAGTTGACATACAAATGTAACTTCCACACCCCCTAATAGGAAACTCTACTTTTGCTGCCCCTACTTTCTTATCTCCCCTTCATGGTCCAGTCTGTTGTGGTCTAGCTTCCATCCTTCCACTTCAACCAGTGGCCTTCCAGTGACCAAAGACAAAGGTTCCGTTTTTTCAGTTTACTCATTTGACATTACTGATTGCTCAGCCTCTTGGAGTGCTCCGCTCACTTGCCTCTGTACCTTCTCAATCTCTCCTTCCACGTCCTCTCGCCATTTTTCTCCTAGGTTTCTGGCATTTATGTCTTTCCCCACTTACCTCATAAATTGAGGTTTTCTCCAAAGCCCTCTTATTTCTCAATGTTCTCTTCTTTAATAATCTCAACCAAACGCTGAGAATGCAGCTGTCACCTCTGTTTCGATGACACCCAGGTCTAGCCCAGGTCTGCCTCCTTACTTTTGGACTCACATTTCTAACTGCCAGTTTGGCATCTCTCAGGTGAATGTTTCTCAGGAACCTTGTCACGGATTGAATTGTGCCCCCTAAAACACTTGTGTTGTAAATCCTAGCCTCTCTACCTGTGTATATAATCCCAATTGGGAATAGGGTTTTCTTTATTAATGAGGCCATGTCAGTGTAGGGTGTGTCCTTTAAATCTTTTGAGATATGAAAGGAGCAGGTTAGGCACAGAAGCAAAGAAGCACAGATGGGGAAGATGAAGATGAAGATTGCCAAGGAACTGAGGAAAAGAAGCTGGAAAGAGGCACAGATCTTCCCCTAGAGTGGACAGAGCCTTCCACTAGCGCTGTTGTTGTTATTGTTAGGTGCTGTCCAGTTGGCTCTGACTCATGGTGACCTTATGTACAACAACAAAACGCTGCCCTGTCCTGCAATAAGCTTCATAATCCCTGCTATACCCGAGCCCGTCATTGAAGCCACTCTGTCATCTATCTCTTACGGGCCTTCTCCTTTTTCATTGACCCTCCACTTTATCAAGCATGATATCCTTCTCCAGGGAATGGTCTCTTGACAACATGACCCAAGTAGGTGAGACAGAGTCTGGTCATTCTCCTTTCCAAGGATTATTCTGGCTGCACTTCTTCCAGGACAGATCTGATAGTCCTTCTGGCAGTCCATGGTACTTGGGCTTCTAGCCTTCTAAACTGAGAGAAAATAAACTTCTGTTCTTCAAACTCATTCACTTGTGATATTCCAGTTATAGCAAGAAACTAAGACAAACCATGAACTCAAGAGGACAGGCAAGAAACTCATGGCCATCTCCCTATCCCCCAGTCTCCTCCCAAGTTTCCTCTCCTGCTCACAACATCAGTCATCTGCCACTCCACCCTCTTTGTCACCCCTACCTTCTAACTGATCGGCAGGTTTTGTCGACATTCCCTCTGCAGTGTTTCTCATATAGGACCCTTCTTTCCATTTCTGTGCCCTGATTCTTCCTCACTTCTCCTGAGGACACCACCACCCTCCTAACTGCCATTCTTGCCTTCAACATCTGCCCCTGTCCCCAGGCCAGACTTCATGCTGCTGCCAGAATAATCATCTGAAATTCTTCAGATCCTATCGTTTTCCTCGCCATCGACTTCTCTACCTGTAGAATAAAGTTGTGATTTAACATGGCGTTCCCACCTCCACATGAGGTTGAGCCTAACTTTCTAGCTTTACCTCCTTAATAAGCCCCAGAGTCTTGTCTAGTGGTTCTCAACCCTGGCTGTACTTGGGATGACCTGAAA